ACCAAAAGCCTAGTCAAGTAGGCTCCTTTGACAGAGTACCTTAAAAGAATGGCAGTGGCAAGGGGTATGTTTTGGGAGGGAAATTCAGAGCTTAAGAAAACGGAATCAGGGATAATCCGGAGGCTGGGATTTGGGGCACTCTGTTGTCTTGAGAGTTTTGGGTTTGAAGGAGGTGAGAGAGATAAGGAAGGGTATGACAAGGTTTAAAAACCAGGAAGAGATTTGTAAATTTGAGCTGTCACTGGTCTGGGAGTTAATGGTGGATGGAGGGTGAACAAATGAATGGGACCTGATGCAAGTTGGGTCATAGCTGTAGAGTTTGAGAGGAGCAATTTAATGGAGACCAGGAATTCTACAGGAATAGTCAAATCTAGAGGAAATAAATGGATAGGTGAGGGTTTCAGCACAGGGTGGAAATGGATGTTCTGGGGCCAAATTGAATGAGACAGTATTAGTGATGGTGTGGGTGTGGCCAGCTGACCACTGTGGGTTCAAACATGACACCCGAGGGCACAAACAGTCTAGTTCAGTCGCTCATAGTTGCTGAGGTGGATGGAGCTGGGGGAAGGGACTGAGACAAGGACTGATCTTCCCAACATTTAAAGGAAACTTCTACCACCCAACATGAACATTAGACAGGGAAGCTAATTACTTAGCGAGAGTGGAGGGATCAAAAGAAATTGGTGCTGCCAGCATACATGTGAAAACTAACACTTGGCTTCAGATCCCAAGAAGGGGTCACAAATCAATGAATAGAGGATAGCACCATTGTTGGAAGAGAAACCAGTGCATGTGATTCTCTGGTCATAACTGGGTAGGCGAGACAGGATTTGAAAACCAAGAGAATTTTTACAACAAGGCCAGGACCAGGAGAAAGGAAGACATTTCAGGATGGAGGAATGGGGTAAGAGTGGGACACAACTGCACAATTAGATCACAACACTTTCTACACATTGGAGTAACACCAAGACCGTACTGTGTCAGTCCACTAAACCAGGCCTGATGACAGTCAGGAATGGAGACATTTGGAGAATTGCTTTGAACAGTACAGTGTGACTTACAGAAAGTTTCTCGACATCCCCTTTGAGAACACGCTCAAGGTACAGCTGTTTGAGCTCACGCTCCAGGCGTGATGGTAAACCGGGATACATGGTTGAGCCACCAGAAAGGACAATGTGCTTGTAGAACTCTGACCTGGGAGGGAGCAATTGCAGAGAGCAATGAATTAACTGGGCCAGAGGTTCAGAGTACTATTCACCTGCTTCTTGGTACAAATTTACAAAGTGGCTTTAACATTCTGATCAAATAAACAAACCACCTGAAACAGATGGAATTGGAAGCCACTGGCTAACCACAAGTTAACGCATTGTAAAGGTGCCAGTGATTACGGAGACACCACACTTGTAAAACCAAAGGCCCAATGCCAGCTGCTCACATACCTGGTATCAATATCAGCTGCTTGAATCGTACTGAAGAGTAACTCAGCCACACCGACACCTTCCACATTGATGAGATGAGGCTGAAACAAGGCTTCAGCTGCTTCGAAACGCTCTCCTCCAACTTTTATCACTCGGCCATCTGGAAGCTGAAAAAACCTTGGGCTTTAGGAACACAAACCCAGCAAACACCAGCCTCTAAAGACAAACTTCCAGATAACCAGTTAGCAAGAGTGGAGGGATCCAGGGAGGATTGGGCTGAGAGCACTGACGGGGCTCACTGTTGTTGTGAAAGCTATCACTTCCTTTCAGATGACATCACCCCTCAATCCCTGAACCAAAAGGGATGTAACTACCTGCAGCACATTCAATCAGAGCGGCTGGTCTTTGGGATCAAGGGTGGGAATGGGTTTGCACATTGTTTGTAACTTGGGAGGTGGCAAAGAGTTTTCATTTCCAATGTGCAAGGGGAGGCAGTGATGTAATGGCAACATCACTCATTTAGTAATCCAAAAATCCAGCTAATGCTCCTGGGGATGAAAGTTCAAGCTCCATCATGGTAGATGGAAAAACTCAAATTCAATTAAATTTCAGAATTAAAAGCTAGTTTAAATGGCAGCCATGTAATGACTTGAATGGGTTGTAAAAACCCATCGAGTTCACTAACGTCCTCCAGGGAAGGAAATCTGCCACCCTTACCCAGTCTGGCCTATACGTGACTCCAGACCCACAGCAGTGGTTGACTCTTAACTGCCCTCTGAAATGGCCAAGCAAGTCCCTCAGTTCAAGAAGAATTAGGGATGGGCAATAAATGCCAGTTTTTCCAACAATGCCCACATGCTGCGATAGAAATAATAAAAATACCTTCTGCCTATTACTCAGCAGAGTCTTGCTGGAGACATTCAGACAATGACATCGCGCCAGCCTCACACCCATCGTTCAATAAGAGCTGCTGAATTTCCAGGCAGCACAGGTATAATGGTCACTTTAAACACAGGTCCATGGCACCCCCACCCCCCCTCCCTGAGAGCACCAGGATGTTCAGCACCTTGAGGTGTGGGCAGAAGAGGAGAGGAAGTGGGAGATGTTGGAGTTACTGGGCACCTTGTTGAAACTCAGTCCTAACCTGCCGTCAGATCAGCAAAACACTGATCACTCCAAACGGCACTCAGCCCAGAAGCCAGCAGAAACAGAGCTGCAAATAATCAGGCAAAAGCAAATGCAGGCAGTTCACCAAATAAGAGAGCATGGCCGGGGGGGGGGGGGGGGGGGGGGGGGGGGGGGGGGGGGAGGGGG